TAATAGTAGCGAAATTACAGTGATGAAGTAGCAATGAAACTAATTTTATGGTTGGGGGGGTCACCACAACATGAAGAATTGTATGAAAGGGTCGCGGCATCAGGAAGGTTAAGAACTGCTGTCTAGAAGGAGACTCATTCTACAGGGTCAGGGACAGAATGTAAATCAGAGGGAACTCCTCAGCCTCCTCATATGTCAAATGGAGAGTCTCATAAGAGAGTCATGAAGATTAAATGCATGCCATGTGTACAGCACATGTAGTTTAATACCTCTTTCCAAGCACTGCGTCATGACCTGCATCATGTTGCTAAGCCTAGTACCGTCTCTGTTTCTACTCCTGGGATGTGAGGATACGGAGATCTATGCTGCTTCTCTAGTTGAACTCTGTCACCAACAGTCATGAACAGCAACTATTAGCATATATGCAAAACTAAAACTGTTATTCAAGTGGCAACTACTATGTCTTGAGCATCCACTGGGACATTCATCTTCTTGAATCGGTTTAAAATGGAAAATAGCTTCAAGGGATATATAGAATAATTAGCATATAATAAATATGTGCATGCAGACTTCTGATCAACTAGAAAACATTAATTTTCCACTCCCATCAACCCTCCCTCCCTCACCCCTACATACACTTGCATTTGAAACTGTTGGACTTGGGGCTTCTGTTCCATTACACGTATTTGGTGTAGTGTAAGTAATCAGAAATCTGTCCCTTCTGCCCCAGGCTTCAGCATCTTTGCAATTGGTGTGGCGGACGCAGATTACGCAGAGCTGGTTAGCATTGGCAGTAAGCCCAGCACCCGTCACGTCTTCTTTGTGGACGACTTTGATGCCTTTAAGAAAATTGAAGATGAATTGATTACTTTTGTCTGTGAAACCGCATCAGCAAGTGAGTTCTTCGGGTTTTGTACTTACGTTGCTTAAAGGCTGACGTTCTATGCTGGAACAATTATGAGTCTTGATCTGAGGCAGGAATATTGACTCCCTCAACTGTGTGTCATGTAGACATTGATTTTGAGCAGATGGGATTTATGCAGCACCCCCAGCGCATGCTGCTGAATTTAAGGTTGATAAAGACTTTCCATAATAACATGGCTGTTGGCGTTTAAATGCAATAGTGTCCCTAGCCCACTCTAACTTTCAAAAATGTATTGAGACAGCTCACCTGGGTAACAGCTTAAACGTGAGACTTCTCTCCAAAACAACTCTTTACGTGCCCACCTTTGACCTTTGTGGGTTCCGGAGGGAGGAGGAAGTGGCAGGCTCGTGTTTGTTTTCAAATAAGGGCAGTTTGGGCCTTGAAATCTGGGGAAACTGCCCAAAGCCACAGCTGCACTTGGCTTGGATGCCCTTGAAGAGTGACTTCCGGAAAGATCCCGTTAGCTTCCTCTTCTCCGAAGAGGGGAAGCATATGTTTGGAACTATATCTAAACTCGGGTTTTATATGGTTTTGTTTTCCAGCCTGCCCGCTAGTGCATAAAGATGGTGTTGATCATGCAGGTAGGTGTTATCACAGTTTTTTCTAATGCAGATATGTGGAATAAATTCCACTTTGGGGTCTGGTTTTATTTTTCTTTTATCCTTAATAGAATAAGTTTGGAATTTAAATTCTAAAGTGCAAGTATGTTTTTCTCCCCCTTCTCTGGTTTTTCTTTTGTAGGATTTAAGATGATGGACATGTTTGGTTTAGTTGAAAAGGATTTTGCATCAGTGGAAGGAGTATCTATGGAGCCTGGCACCTTCAATGTGTACCCATGTTACCAGCTGCGTAAAGATGCTCTGGTTTCTCAGCCAACCAAGTATGTTTCTATCACAGGATGTGAACGCCATGCATTTGTTTATTAATTTGTAAGGTGACATTGTTGCCCATTTGAAACACGCTATAATAGTTCTTGGTAGGGTTTTCTGCAATGTTCAGAGAAGCTATTCTTTCATTTTTTTTCTTTAAAAACACCAGACTTACACATAACGTTATTTGAAATTTAGTATTTGTTAATCCAAAAGATTAAAATTAAATATATATAATGCTTATATATTACTACTATGTCAGGCATTATTCTATGTGCTTGGTGTTTATTCGTTCATTCAAGCCTCCTAACAATTATCTGAAGGAGTTTCAGTTATACTCTCACTTTTACAAGCGATGAAGCTCAAGTGCAAAGAGGGTAGATACACTGTGATAAGATGTCGTGTGTCAAGTGGCAATGGTGGGATTTACATGAATTGAGATGGGATGGCCTTTGAGCAGTCACATCAGCATCTCCCTAGAGCTGAAGAGCATCTCAGGTTGAGGGAACCATCACATGAGGGGTCCCTGGACTGACAGTCTGTGTTGAACATCGGGATTCATGGGGCTCTTGTGGTAACTCTGCAGACGCAGGCGGTGCTGGAGGTGCAAAGTGGGGATCCCTGCCTGAAGGGGCCGTCTCTCAAAATGTACAGTCCAGACCAGTGTTTGTTTTTATCTCAGAATAGCTTGAACTGTTTGTCATTTTTTAAATCTGATATTAACATTTTCAGCGTGTTAAGATTTTGATGGACTGGGCATACAGACACGAAACATTGGGGGAGATCACAGTAGAGTATTATGCTCATTTTTCAGGGTATAAAATGTTTTTTCCATCTCTGTCTAAAATATTGATAAAGTTTTAGCATATAACAGTGTTATCAGAATTCTTTGGTGATGCGTTTATTGTGCCATAGCATATGTGAAATAGGTCGACATCTTCTAGGGTTTTAGAATATATGTTATTAAGGCATAGCTTTATTTTTCTAGAAAGTTCTGATACAAGTTCTCATAGATTATATGTTATTTTAGGGCAAACCTAAAAGCTGGACATTTTTATTTGGTAGAAATTTTCACACTGTCTAATGAAATTAATATTAAAATGAGTATTTGAATAATTCTTGGAAGCCCAGCCCAAACTCAGAATTGCCAAAGGGAAAGTCCCCCACCAATCCATTGAACCTGCTCATCAACCAGCAATGTCCTCCTTCTGTCGAATCCAATTACGCATTCCAAGCCCTCATCCTAGTTGACCTGTCACCTGCATTTGACATAGCTGGTCGCTTCCTCCTCCTGACTCTCACTTAACCTCTGGGACAAATGCTCTCTTGAGTATTGTGTTAGTCTGGGTAGACTAGAGAAACAAATTCATAGAGACACTCATATGTGTCTAAAAAAGAGCTTTATACAAAGAGTAATTGTACATTAAGAAAACATCCCAGCTGAGTCCAGATCAAGTCCATAAGTCCAATATTAGCCCATATGTTTGATACCAATCTATAAAGTCCTCTTCAGACTCGAAACACTTGCAATGACGCCGAATGCAGGAAGATCACAGGCCCGTGGGTGGGAAGTCTTGTGGATCCAGTGGGGATGTAAACATCTCAGCCCTGGCAGGGGTTTCCACGTGGCTCCTTCAGCTCCAGGGCTCTAGGGTAGCTCCATGTGGCTCATCTGCAGGAATGTCTCCCAGAGAGTGAGCCTGTGTTCCACCTCTAGTGAGCTGTTTATCTCCTTAGAGCCTCCAAATGAGGTCATCATGCTGTGACCTGATTGAGAGACTAAACTCTACCCTTTCATTCTTTATCAGTCTCACATTGACAACAGATTATGTAACTATCCCAAGTATCTCTGTACATTACCGTCCATGTCTTTTCCATGCTATTCTCTTTCCTCTTCTACCGTTTTAATGTGAGCAGGGCCCCAAACCCTCTAAACCCACGGCATGGAGTCAATTCGGACTCACAGTGACCCCACAGGACACAGGGGAACTGGCTTGGTGGGTTTCTGAGGCTGTAACTCTTTGTGGGAGTCGAAAGCCTGTCTTTCTCCCATGGAGTTCCTTGTGATTCCACCTGCTGACCTTGTGATTAGAAACCCCAAGATCACGAGAGCAACGGGTGTGGATAGAGAAGATGAGGAGACCAAGGATCAAGGCCAGCGTTTCCGCAGTGAAGGCACAGCTCAGAGGTGTCGCAGTGCAGTAACGCAGTTTCACGACAGGATGAGCCACACCAATGTTTTCTATTTCCTAGGGCCTAGAAAAGCCCTGTGGACCCTCTTCTGTAGTCTATGGAGTATGCAATAGTGTTATGAAAAAAATCGGAATGTTGTGAGGATGACTAAACTGTGACGCAGAGACGGGAAGTGAGCATGGTGAACGAAGGGCAGCGCAATAGCGATGTGCCTGCGTGTAATGAGATGGGAACACTTATGACAAAATTATATAAATTGCATCCGTGGTTACACATTCTTTAGAGACCGGAGGGGAAAGTTCTGTTTTGTGCTCACCTCTGCATAAGACTAATTGTGGTCTGATGTTTTCCCCTTTTATGTTTCCCCCAATGCTTTTGTATCTTGTCCAATGAACACGTTTGGTTTTGTAATTGGATCAGTCACGTTGGAGGAAGGTTCCGGTAAGACGTGCATTTCTCTCTCCTTCAGGTACTTGCACCCAGAAGGATTGCCCTCTGACTACACCATCAGTTTTCTCTTCCGGATTCTTCCTGACACGCCGGAGGAACCATTTGCTCTTTGGGAGATTTTGAATAAAAATTCCGACCCACTGGTTGGGGTGATTCTAGACAGTAAGTGTATTGACTAACATGACATTTGCACAGATATACTATACTGTCTTTGGGTAGATTACTGCGTATGTCATCTTACACATTTCTTGGGTGACTCATTGGGGTGCTGAGTACAAAGCAGCAGTTCAAAGCCTGTGGCTTCTTCAAGGGGAAATAATGTGTTTATCTCTTCCTGAAAAGATTTACAGCTGAGGAAACCTTGGGAGCAGTCTACTCCATCCTTTAGGTGGCTCTGACTCAAAATGGACTGGATGGCATTTGGCTTAAGAAAATAAATGTACGGATTCTAAACAATGAATTGTGTAATTGTTGATTAACCTATTGATTGCTTGATTTATCCAGTCAATATCCAGTGATTACCTTTTGGGGTCCCGGGTTGATTAACATATTGATTCAGTGATTCATTGCACCAATATCCAAGGAGTGCTCAAGGTGGCGTGGAGAAAACAGTGGCTGTAAGCAAAGCCTGCTGGAGGAACAACAGAATCTCACTTATTTGGTTGAGGAAAACCATTTTAAGCTGCTTTTTATTGTGAAGAGGCTTTTAAATGTATGGAAATGAGTCAACAGCTCAGTACTACATTATGAAAGCATGTTGCAACATATTAAAACTAGGTAAATGTTAGATGAATACAAATGATTAGATTGCTATATATTTAGGATGAGAAAACAGTGGACTATCTTGGAATGGTTATGAGCAGCTTGCCCTCAACGGCAAAACTGAACTAAAAAACCAAATTCACTGCCATCCAGTCAATTCTGACTCACGTGACTGTGTAGTTCAGGGCAGAACTGCCCTTGTGGGTTTCCGAGATTGTAACTCTTTGCAAGAGTAGAAAAGCTCATCCTTCTCCCCAAGGAGCCGCTGGTGGTTTTGAACTGCCAACCTTACAGTTAGCAGCGCAACACACAATCTTAAAGGCAAAATGGACCACTTAACTGTAGTCTAGGGATGAATGGATGAGGAAAGTATTCCTTTGTGTTTTATAATGAATTACAACCAGGAAATGGAGGACTCAAGAATTTTTACTTATTTATTTCCTTGTAATAAAAGATACACTGGAATATCATGTCTTGGGTGGTGTAAATTTTCAGATCCTAGGCAAGCTAGTTGCTGTGTCGATAGAAATGGGATAGATTCTATTTCTTAAGACTTGATTAACTTCATTATCTTGCTTTGCCCGTCTCTTCTAGTTCCAGACAAGAGGATGATCAAGTCAGAGTGTAGTCAAGGAGGAAGGCTTTCAGTAAAGGGCTTTGACTCATCTCCATCCAGTTAATGTAGCCAAATCAAAGCCTAGGGCAACCCAAGGATGGCAGCATATTTACTTACTTATGCTTTTGTCCTAAACAGAGTTTCAAAACAATAAATGCATCATTTTTAGCATTGAAGTCAATTTCAGAAAAATCAACCCTTTTGATTATCTTTTAAATGTTTTTATTTCCTTTGGTTTGAACAGATGGTGGGAAAACCTTAACATATTTCAACTATGACTACACTGGAGAGTTTCAAACGGTTACTTTTGAAGGACCAGAAATTAAAAAAATTTTCTATGGAAGCTTTCACAAGGTCAGTAAGGCGTTGCATATATGCATTCTGTATTCTTCTTGTTGTTGGGAAAGCAACATAGGGCTATAACAACATTTCATAGAACGTGGGGTCTCCAACTTCAACAGGATGAAGAATTATCTGTGAAGACTATAAAAATTCCCGGAGTGTCTGACTTGACATTTCTGAGAAGAGACTCAGAACTGTTCATTTTTAGCAAGCATCCTAGTTGATTCTGACAGAAGTGGGCCAGGTTACCTCTCTGAGGAACCATGGAGTGGTTAGATAGTATTGAATTATTAAGTGGACAATTGCAGCCACAATCTTTTGCCACATTGTGTAAGATGTAGCAAGGATTGCTGATCCATCTGGCCACAGATACAGCTGGAAGGGTAAACACAATTAGCTTGTTGATTTAAAATATAAGCATAGATACCTCCGATAGCACTGATCTATTTTACGTGTTTGTATAAAGGTACTTTGACACTGACATCATAAGACAGTCGTTCTAGGAGTGGGGGAAGGAAGAAGGCTCAAAAACTAACTTTCGGGGTTTTCTTTCTAATAACTCGGCACTTGTGATCATCAACCACGTTAGGAGTCATTCTGGGGGACATACTTCCCTCCACAGCCCTTGTTTCCTATGTGCTGGCCCAATGCCCCACTGAGCGCTGGCTGTTAAGAAGCAGGACTACAGGGAGAGCGAAGTCTTTTGGAGGGTGCTGCAGAAACCTCCTTAGCAAGCCCTTCCTGGTTAGCCAAGGTGAGGGACAGGATGTGACATCTCAATCTACCACTGGACTTCTGTCTCCTGACTTGGAATATGGCCAAACCAGTCTAATTTGCACAATTTGGGCAACTAGCTGGGGTTTTCAATACCATGATTACACAAGGAAAGTTGCATATCAAAAACGTTAGTTTGTGTGTGTGTGTGTGTGTGTGTTTGATAGGACTGTACTGCCAGAAGTACAAGGCAGCTGAAGAATACATAAGATACAGCTTGAGATTTAGCTCATGGTTCAAAGTGGTCCCATGAATGGTTCTTTAGGCTTAATATTTACTCACCACTTTCCTCTTTTTGTTAAAAGTTGTAAACTAGGGGGGAGTTTATATTTCATATCAACTGGTAATCACCCGTTTAAACCACTCAGCAAGCCCCACATCCAGATGTTGACCCCTCCCCTACTCCCCGATCCCCTTCTCCCTCTTGCGGACTGCTAGTCTCCATGTCACCCAAGTGACACCTGTCCAGAGTCTAGCCCGTTGCTTTCTCTTTCCTCCTTTGCTCTCCCCACCGTGCCAAACTCCAGTCCACTCTCTTGATATAATTCTCTTGGGTAGTCTGAGTCTGTTGCGAAACTCATCATGAAAATTGTAGGGCAGATGAGAAGCAGTTGAGATTTTATGAGTGTTAGAAAAAGCCTTGCCATCTTAGCATGTGGTATAGGTACGAACTTGTAGTTCGCGTTCTAAAGAGTCCTTTATGAGCCTTAGGTGAATGACAAGCTTTACTCCCTTGCCAGAAAAACTCAAAGACCTCCTCGGAGTCTAGGCTCATTAAAAGTTGGCTTCAATTTTATAAACCCTCAAGCTTTTAGAAATCATATGAAGAAAACCCTTTATCCGTGTTGTGAAGAATTAGTGGAGCCAAATGAACAACAAAAAGAAAAAGGTTATCACTCAGTAAGCTCTTAATGGATCCATTCATAGAAAATATTAAAGCAAATTCTATTTGTAGATCAAATTGTTTATTAATAGACATGCTAACATTTAATAAATAATTTCACATGGATTTTTTCCCCAGGTGACTTTGTTTTCCACGCTTTTTTGTGACTTGGGTGGAAATTGACACAGCAAATCAATTTTTCTATTCAACAATCACACACCTCTTGTTTCCTGACAATGACTCCAATCCCCACAACGGAACAGTGCTCTTTCCTCCTCCGCCCCGCTTTGCCCATGTTACTACATTTGTCCAGCTTTCCTATCGCTTCCTGCCTTTGGAGCGTTATCCAAATGCTCCCTTTGCATGAGCACATGCTGCCCTTTTGCTTGAGTGCAGCGCTTGTTCTGAGGAGGGGGACCAGAGCGGCCCAGGTTATGCCTGTCCACCGAATCGGCCTGTCTGTGGTGTGGCTGCATGCTGAGCCCCTGGTGAGTTCAGTTCCAGGCTTGCAGGGGACCTAAGGGACCCAGCCTCAGGAGCTGATTTGATTTTGTATTGGCGACAAAGCGTGGCCTCAGAGCCGCTTTCCAAAAGTTAACTGTCATATCAATAAGCCCATAAGCAACCAAAGAATCAAAATACTTTTGAAAACATCTCAGAATCTTCTTTTGTAAAAGGAAAGCATTGTTTATCTAAATATATATAATCACTCCCGATTTTAACTTTAACTTTAACGGTTCTTAAAGCGTGGGTCTTACGTGCTAGGCTTCCTTAGTAGCCTGCGTGAACCTCTGTGTAATTTTTAACTGTGAAAAGTATGCCCGGTCTGCGAAGCACACGTGAGTGACGTCAGACCTTTCTCACTGGATCCTAGTAGACCTGTCAATCAAACACCAGGAGTGTGTGTGTGTGTGGTGTTTCCTCTGGAAGCCTTTGTCTACCTGGTAATTATTAACTCTTACATGAAGGAAAAAGAGTTCTTATAAGTCCCCACCGACTAAAGCCATTTTTTTTCAAGCTGTAAATTAAATAAATAAAACTTTCAATCAAATGTAGCATACACCTCACATGCTTTCAGCTCTTATTCAACAGTACAACAAACATCAATTTAGGTTGGGCAAAACCATTAAAATGAAAAGGGGTAGTCTATTAATTTGACAGATGATGCTGTTTCGCAGAAATTTAATCTCCGCTCAAACGGGAATAGTGGCTCCAGCCTTCACCTCCTGATTCATATCAGACAATGGTTTCCCTTTCACATTCCACGATCCTCCCCCTTTCCCGTTCTCTTGGTGATTTCTTTTGGCTTTCCCTTGAAGTGAAACCATGACTTACCTATTTAATTTTCCCTCTTGCCGCTCACTAACCTGCCACAAACGAGTGGGACTCACGAGACAAGTCCCGCAGAGAACTGAAATGCATAGATGAGCACGGAATTGTCATGGCAACACACGGTCACAATGAGATGACCCAGGCTCTGTAGAATATACTCACCCCTGGTCTTCATTGAAGTGATAACACACACACACATACACACACACACACACACCTTAAAACGTGTCCATGCACCTTCAGAATAAAGATCCCGGTTTGAAACAGAACAATACACATAAGGACTTCATTTCATTTGGGTTGGGGATCTCCAGAAAGCATTAGCACTCCCCCCTCTGATTCCAGTTCTCCCGTCACCCTAAACTAGGACTAGTACTAAACTAGTACTAAACTAGTACTAAAGTATCGTTTACCAGCCTCTCCCTGTGATGCCGCAGAGGACCGGGGCTAGCACATCACAAAGTGCTTTTGCCTTGGGCTATCTTGGCGGTGGTTTTAATGTGCATTAAGAACAGCGATAAAAAGCACATCAGGCTTGTGGTTTCAGATATCAGAGCTTTGACGGACAGCTACATTTTAAACAGGGAATCCTTTAAAACTCATTGTAAGAAAAATGGTGATGTAAATAAAAAGCAGAGGTTGTTCTTGAAAGTGGGAAGCTCACGAGGTGGTCCGAGTGACTGTCTCCTCTGGCAACATCCGTGGTGACAGAATTCCTTCACTCTTTTTGTTTTGTGTGGTAAGTCGAACAATTATACAAAGCTTGTTGGTGTTTTCTCCAATGTCTTACCTCCTAAAACCTCTTTATTTTCACTTAGCTACATGTTGTTGTCAGCAAGACTTTGGCCAAAGTGGTTATTGACTGCAAGCAAGTGGGCGAGAAAGCAATAAACGCATCGGCCAATATCACGTCGGATGGTGTGGAAGTTCTGGGGAGAATGGTTCGATCGATAGACCCGGATGGAAACTCGGTTCCAGTAAGTGGCTGACCAAGTGAAGCTGTGCTCTTGTTACAGGAAAGAAAATCTTGTCAAAGTATATTTCTCTCTTTTCCAGGAGAACGTTTGTTGGGTAGATGGATGGGCGCATGAGTGGATAGACAGATAGATAACAGGCTCTTTAAATGAACTGAAACATGTGGGTTCAAACCTCTGCTTCTGCCGTAGGCAAAGGCAAATGTTCTGGGAATTGGACTCGTTTGTTTTATAAACGTATTTTAAAATTAAAATAGTAAAATATTCATTATAAACTCATTGGCTAAGAACAATACATACATGGATATTGTTTTCAGGAAATTGGAATAAGTCTCTTATTTGGACGTTTATAAAATGGGCTACTGTTGATGCTAAAGTGAAGCTTAACTTTTTATTTTTGTAATCATTGATAGCTATTTATGTATCCCATGACTTTAAGGTAGTACCTGTTCCAGGTACTTGACATGGAATTTGAGTCTGGGAGTCTTCCAGTTGGCACAGGAGTCGTATTCCCCTTACTCACTACCTACAGAAAAGAGTAGTGTGCAAAGAATTGTGTGTAACACCATGGGTTCACAGCTAATTAGCCACGTTCTCAGGTTTTAGCCACTCTATAATTAGAACCTGCTAGCCTGAGGATTTGCATTCTTGTAAGCAATTCCAAATGTTCTAATCTACCTTGCTCATCTATACAGTGGAATGATCTTATTAGCTATGAATTGTTACTGCTGTCTCCCACATCTGTAGATGTGTAGAATGAGCCTGCTATCAGGAGGTTTAGAAAATCTGATGGTCCTGAAAAGTTTTGAAGCTGAAGATTGCTTTGAATAAATTGAACTTGATGCTATGTCAAACCATTAAATAAATGTGAAAAAACAGACCAGTGCTGATGAAACGGGGAGGAGACACGGAGTGGCAGGTCGTCCTTCCTTCCTGTGGCCTCCAAGGGACCTTCATGAAGCACCATTCTAATTCCACTGCTCCAGTCTAACCCACGAGGACCCTGGTGGTGGACCGGTTGTGTCTTCGGCTGCTAAACATAAGGTTCAGCAGTTCAAAACCACTTCCAGGATAAAGGTGTTACTGTCTCAGAAACCCACAGGAGAAATTCTTTCCTGTTCTACAGGGTCACTAAGAGTCAGCATCAGTTCGATGGCAGTGAGTTTGATTGTGGTCTTTGAACCTAATCCAGTGACTTCACACACCAGAAAATAGCTCTAGAGAAGTAAAGTGTTTTCGCATTAGTAGCAACAGAAGAAGGGAAACCCTTTTCTGTGGGACCATGGATGATTCCAGACTGGACAGATGTCTGCTAATGCAGTTCACATTTAGCAGTTTTTTAACATATAGCTTTAAGGCATCTGTAAAATTTATTTTATTTTAACTTTGGCTTGGCAATCTATAGATTAGATGTATAGAAAGGGAGACTATGAAGAGATATGCTTAGAATCTTCTTCTTACATGATGGTAAAGGACTTTGAAATATGCAATTGTGGAGTTTGTTCATCTTACACGTGGTATTTCATGATTATTAAGAAATACACTCTCTTCCTCCTAGTACCACACTTAGAAACGTATACACAAAAAACAAACTCACTGCCATCAAGTCAATGCTGACCCATAGTGACCCCAAAGGACAGGGTGGAATTGCTCCCCGAGTTTCAGAGACTGTAACTTTTTGCAGGAGCAGAAAGTCCTGTCTTTCTCCCAAAGATTGGTTGGTGTTTTCAAACTGCTGACCTTGCAGCTAGCCCCTCTCTCACCACTATGCCACCAGGGCTTCTTAGAAATTTATAGGAATTAAGAATTGGCAAAAATGTTATCTGTGTGGATCAATGTATGAATAGATAGATACTCGGGTGAATTCACGGACTCAATTTAGGAAAGAGAAAGAATCCTGGGCATAGGAAATGCTGGCCCAAATTATTCGTTCTGTATGTTCTTTTTTTATTTGAGAAATAATGCGTATAAAGGCCCCAAGGCAACCACATTCAGTGCAGCTACTCTTATTGAAGGAAGTCTGCAAGACTTTCTCCATCCCATTTTGCTCTTTCCTCCTCTTCGAAACTCTAGCATTTAATATGTGATTTTTGGTAGTCCTCTATTACCTTCCCACCCGTTCATATCACTGTGTCTCATGTCTCTAGTCAAAATATAAATTCCTCCACATAGAAACCATGCCATAGTCTTTGTTGGTAGCTATTGGCCTGTGTCCCACACCACAGCATGTCATACATTTCTGTGTGCTGAGAGGCTGGGTTAACTAGGGAAACACATGCAGTGGCACTCACATATGTGTGAGGGAGAGTTTTATATCAAGACGTAATTATCTATCAGGAAAATATCCCAGCTCAGTCTAGATCAAGTCTATAAGTCCGATACTAGCCCATATATCCCTCTTTAGAGTCACAGAGCCACAGGCTATGATGCAGAATGCAGGAAGATCACAGGCCGGTAGGTGAAGTCTTGTGGATCCAATGGCAGTGGAAGCATCCCATGACTGGTGCAGGTCTCAGATTGGCTTGCCGGCATGAAGGTGAAGCAGAGAGAGGAGGAGGTTCCCAGGACCCTTGTTATGAAGAGGTTACGCCCACCAAGAGGCACCACCAGTCTGTGATCTGATTGGCCGGCCAACTCCACCCCTCCACTTCAAGTGGACAAGAAATTATGTAGCCACCACAACGTACTTGCTATTAATTGGATAGAATCTTGCCAATTTGAATTTTATGTCTTTTCATAGAGTTTTTTCTATGTAATAGAGATATGTGTTATTTACCATCCAAGATATGTTCGGTGAAATAGGATGTTACAATCTGAACATTTCATGAACACCATATGGAACATTGTAAGATCTGTTTCCTGTCACCCTTACGGCCTCTGCCAAAGGCATGGTACCATGGCAGCTTCAGGAGCTGAGTGACAGGAAGCCTATCGGGAGCCAGCGAATGTATCAGGTCTTAGGCCTCACCTACCTGTATCTCACCTGTGGTCCAGTGTGACAAGAGTCTGAGTTCGGGGGTCTTTAAGACCATTAGGGATAACTAATAAACCAAAGGAGAACTGCTTTCATTTAAAGCAAAACAAAAATCCTATGAGACTCCAGATAAACATACAGTGTGACTTTGCCCAAATGGGTGTTAAGCAACTCATACCTGGATATTATATTCCATATGTTGCATTTAGAACTTATTAGTGATATAGATCATACTTGATCCTGGTTTCAATTTGTATTTTATGGTTGCGCTTTTATTGTGTTTCCACTTATACTGTCTGTAATCACTGAACACCAACTATCTGACCATTAACTATCCAAGACTTTATTTCTGAAAGCCACAGTGCCTGTAGGGTTTGAGCCTATCAGTGATGAATCTTTACTTCTGGCAATGAAAGAACGCAATTAAACAGAGCACCCTCTGTAGTAAGTTCCAACACAGAGTAGACAAAGAGGAATTTATAGAAGTCGGTAGTTAAAGAGTTCTTTGTAAAGTGTGTAGGAAAAAAGTAGTGGTTTTTGTTAGAATCTACAGGCCTGCAAAGGCTTGCTAAGTAGATTTTCAGTCAGCCCACTGACTGAAGAATTTGGTTATGCTGAAATGGATGATATTAGCTTAGCTGTCAAAAATGTGATTGGAAACTCAAACTTGGCTTTTTGAGTTATTACTTAACAGTTTGTATATAAGATGACATGCTCTGGCCTTTCATTTTTCACTTAGAAATCACAAATTGCTAATGCAATTTAGATGCAGCTGCTCTCCAAGCCCCCACCCCACTAAAAGGATGAGCTATCATGTGCAGGAGGAGCTATCATCGCACCATTAGGTTAGTCATTGAGAGCCTGTCCTGGCAAAGGCAGAATGCTTTTAAAATTGCCAGATGATAGACTAATAAGTCTTGAGAGAAAATATGTCCTTTCTCTTAAACCAAAGTTGAAGTGAGATTCATGGGTTTGGAGACACCATTACTACTGTCTTGAAAATGTTCACACTTGTAATAAAAATAACTTGTGCTCAGTAATGCATGATTTTATAAGCAGTGACAGTCCCTAGCGGGACTAAACTAATGAGAAAATTTAGCTTAGCTGTCAAAACATATGTGGGAAGAAACTTAAGGACAGTCTTTCTTCTTCTCCATAGGAGTTTCTCCTGCCTTATTCTGATCCCTAATGGAATGAGGCTGTTGACAGTTGGGGATGAGGCTAAGGGAAAAAAAAATATATATATACACACACACATATATATATACATATATATATATGTATATATATATATAAAGAGAGAGAGAGTCAATCTAAGTGGGATTGGGAAATATATATATATGTATATATATAGAGAGAGGCAGAGCTTCTGGTAAAGGACCTTAGTTCTTAGTGTCCTTCCAGCTTTTAAAATTCAATTCTTATATAACTATCCATTTGATACTTATTTAAACCTCTGCTATGCAAAATAAGGAGGAAATATGAGGGTAAGTAAAAAATATACATCTTTCTCATTGGCTTCCAGTTTATACAGAAAAAACTAAACTCAATGCCATCGCGTCCATTCTGACTCATGGTGACCCGTCTGAAATTGTAACTCTTTATGTAACATCTTTCTCCCATGGAACACCTGATGGTTTTGAACTGCTGACCTTGCATATCACAGTTCAATGAATAACCAGTATGCCAGCAGGGCTCCTTTTCTTTCATACATGCCCGGGTTTATTCTAAATAAAACATGTTTAAACTTCTCCCTGTGGCATCAGTGGTGGCTGCAAGCAAGCCCCATCAGTAACACATTTGTCTTACTCTTTTGGGTGGGTTACAAAGAAAATGCTGAAACATGATTTTGATGTCAGGAAAGAGATCAACGTTTTGACAAATCTCAAGTGTGTATCTTCCAAAACCACTGAAACTTTGCCGCAGGTTTATGGGAATGTTGAATGTTGCCCCACATAGAAAAATAGATTTTAGATGGATCAAGAATATATGAGTAGAGGGGGGAAGACCTCAAAAGTGAGCCAAGAAA